GCTAGTAATTGTTGTTGTTGTTGTTGTTGTTGTTGTTTGTTGTTGTTGTTGTTGTTGTTGTTGTTGTTGTTGTTGTTGTTGTGTTGGTGTTGTGTTGTTGTTGTTGTTGAACATTATTAATTCTAAAGAATAATTATTGTTGGGGCCCCTGGTGCACGGCCCCCCTGCGCCGCCTAGGCCGCAGCTACATTTTCATCATTTTCGTGAGGAAGCCTCAGGTAATTCGATGTGATCAAGATCCGGTTGTTTTGTTGTAATCCGCTTTCCCTTGCAAAAAACACTATAAAATGACATTTCTTGTTCTAATATAATCAAATTTCAAGAATCCCTTGCAAAAAATAAGGTAAAGTGGACATTCGCGCGCGCAAGACGAAATCCTTCCAAAAGCTTAGTGTTCGGAGCGATTTTAACATAAAAACATCAAAAAACCAATGGTTTTTCAACAAAAAAATGTCAAAATCTCATCCCGCGCGCTCTTGCGGATTCGTAGGAAACCCAACACTTTTTAAACATTTCTGTCAAACGGGCTTTTGCGAGCAACTTTTTCGAACTTCTGCGACAACGGTTGCGCACCTGCCAGGGCCATCATCCCTGTCAAATAATACCATGCGGGACACATTCGTTTTTTCTTCGCGCGCGCACGCCGAAATCTCCAAAAACCATTGGGTTTTTAAGAATTTTAGCACCGCGCTCATAAAATCACACGAATCGCACCGTAGGTCCTCGAAAAACACCTGCACGACTTTTCAAAATTTCCACCCGCGCGCGCTGTCCGAATCCTAAAACAACCAATGGTTTTCCAACATTTATGTTACATGAGCTCGCGCGAGCTACTTTCGCACGCTCTTGCAACGGGTGTGGGTTCACAAGTTGTTAAGCCTTGTGGGTTCACAAGGCTTAACAACTTCTGTGGGTGTACGAACGTAGGCTTAACAACTTCTGTGGGTGTGTACTCCACGCCAGTGTAGTAGCCACGGTCGTCCGCAGGCCACGAAGTGAAGTGTCCGAACGTCATAGGGCGGGAAGCTGGGTGTGGGTGGTGGCGAAGAGTCGTGTGGATATTTGGTAGAGCTTGCACTGCCCCCCCACAAAGTGGGGGTATTGGCTGGCGTCGCATGAAAACCCTGGCACTGGTGAGAACACTGAGCGTTCGGGTAAAGTGATTGTTGTTGTTGTTGTTGTTGTTGCTGTTGTTGTTCGATCCACCGCCCGCCACGACTCCAGCATCCTCCGAGAGGGGCCTTCACGCTTCGCGTATCCCCACCAGCTCCGCCCTGGCGATCCGGACCTTTCCGTGGAGCGCCTGCCCGCCCGCCCCCGTTCTCCTCGAGTACGCGACCGTGGTCTTCGAGTGCGCTGGCCTCCCGGTCGTCGCCATTTGGGCGTTGCACGTGGTCCTGGTGTTCTTCCAGGTCCTCTTTGTCACTTGTGTGGTTGCGTAGGTCGCACCTGCGCGCTCGGGGCTTAAGTTATACTTGTCTGCTTGGATGGTGCGACTGTCTGACGGCGCCCGGCTCTTCCGATGCGTTCGCGATCAACAAAATATCCCCACCAGCTCAATCGGAAACGTGACCCATGACAGACGACTGTAAACGGGAGGAATACACACATATAGAATGAAACGAAGCAGGCAAGGAGAGAAGGGGAAACAACGTGTTGAGACATTTCGGAGGTCGTTTGGAGCATCGGAGGTTTTTGGAACCATCGTGGGCGAAAAACGTCAGAGTGGGGAGGGAAAGGGCAATTGCCCTTCCCCGAAAAGAAGAGGAGTTTTTGAAGCGGGGTGTGCGAGGGCAAGAACCAAGACGGGGACGAGGACAAGGAGAATGAGCATGATTACGACGAGGAAAATGACGACGACGAACTCGAGGATGATGACGAGGATAACGAGGACGAGGCGGAAGAAAATTAAGAGGAGCAGGAGTAGTAGTAGTAGTAGTAGTAGTAGT